TATATTGGTTGGCCTTTTCTGTGCTGTCTTTTGAGAGCTTTTTCTTTGGATGACCTATTTTTAGATTGGATTGCTTGTGGAGTTTTGACAGTGTTTTTGTTTTTTGGGTTTTGTTTGTTTGTTTGTTTGTTTTTGGTCTTTTTGAGACAGGGTCTCCCTGGAGCCCTAGCTAGCCTGCACTTGCTATGTGGACCAGGCTAGCCTTGAACTTACAGAGATCGGCCTGTCTCTGCCTCCCAAGTGCATTGAAATTAAAGGCATGTGCCACCATGCCCAGCTTGATAGATTTTTTTTTAAACATTCTTTATAGTCTGGTTATTAATCCTGCCAGATAAGTAACTGGTAAAGATTTTCTTCTCTGTAAGTTTTCTCTCTTGATGGCTTCCTTAGCTTTGCTAAAGGTTTTTAATCTGGTATGATCAAGTTTGTCAACTTTTGTTTCCTGAGTTATTGATGTCCCTATCTAGGAAAGTATGACCTGTGCTGACACTGTAGCCTTTTTCCATGTGTTCTTCAACCACTTTAAAGTTTCAGATCGTACATTAAGGTTCATTATGAGCTAACTTTTACATGATGAGTGACAGGGCTCTACTTTCAGTCTTCTACATATAGATAACAAGGAGCATCACAGTTTGTCACCCACAGACAGCACTTCCATTGAGGAATGGCCCCAAGTACTTAGGAGAGCAGGGCCTAGGGGAATAAACAGGGAACTACATTCTGCATGGACAAAGAAAACCGAGGGAACTGAGCACTCTGCCTGTTGATCTCAGGGATTTTAAATATTGCCCAGCAGTAAACCCATTACAGAAGGGGGGAAGTATATATAAGTCTAGCAGTCTCACTGTTCTTGGGCTCAGTGCTCTCCAACCTGGCAAGGCACTAAGCCACAAGTGCCCATGAGGATGCTGCGTAGCTCATGCAGTATTCTGGCTGTAGGCTCAGAGCACTCTTTTGCCATCTCTCCCCACCGCTGATCATTGTGCCCTCCACCTCAAGCCGCCTGCTAAACTTCTCAGTTCCACTTGATTGTGCTCCAGCCAAAGTATGTGGTGTCCGTGTCTGACCTCCCTCCACACCGTTTCTCACGACTGTCACCTTCCCAAGCGTTGTGTCTAAGTCTCCGTGATTTGTGAGTGTTCCTTGTTTTCAGATCTCAGAGTAGTTCAGTCTCAAAGAATAATCCCTTTCAATAGAGGCCTGCTTCTAGCAGTCTGAGATACGAGAGGGATGCAGCGGATGTTTTCTCCAGTACTGGCGTGGCATACAGAGAGTCAGTTGTCATACCTAATCCCACTCTGGATTTAAGACTGTGTCCAGGTTAGTTTTTATTATCAATCTGGGAAGAGGAATCTCAACTGAAGGATTTCCCAGATCAGTTTGGATTGTGGCCATATCTGTGGGGAATTGTTTTGACTATTGACTGTTGATTGATGCCAGAGGGCCCGTCACACATTGGATGGTGCCACTCCTGGGCAGGTGACCTGAGTTGTATTAGAAAGCTGGCTGAGCATGATGAACCAGAAGGAGCAAACCAGTAAGCAGCCTTCCCATGGTTTCTGTTCTAGGGTCCTGCCTTGAATTCCTGCCCTGACTTCCTTCAATGATGAATTGAATCCTGGGAGTATAAACCAAATCAACTCTTTCTTTGCCAGTTTGCTTTGATCATGGTATTTATTACAGTAACAGAAGCCAAACTGAACCAGGCTTGTAAGAATTGTGGGATTCCCTTAGTAATGGCAGTCTGCTGTCACCAGGGCTTTTTTTGCTTATTTACCTAGTGATTCAGGTTCCCTTCCTGAGGCACTGAGGCTGAAGCTGTTCATAACATCTTTCTCTTCTGTTTCCATCCTCTCTTACCATTTTTAAGTGTCATTTCACCTTTTTCCTGATTCCCAGTTATCTTAGATACTTTTCCTGTTGCTGTGATAATGTCCAGAGCAAAGGAACTTAAGGGAGAAAGTGTTTATTCTGGGTCACCGTTTCAAGGTACAATCCATCATGGCAAAGAAGTCAAGGCAGCCAGAGATTGAAGCAGGGGGGTCACATTGCATTCACAGTCAGGAAGCAGAGAGCAATGAATGCTGTGCTCAACTGGTTTTCTCCTTTTTTATTCAGTCCAGGGTGCAACCCATGGTGCCATCCAGTTTTAGTTTGAGTCTTCCCACTTTGATTAACATAATCCCTCACAGGCATGCCCAGGGGCTAAATAATCTCCCACTGGCATGCCCAGAGCCTTGTCTCCTAGGTAATTACAGATACCATCAGATTTATACTGAACACTAACCATCACTAAGATCGTTTTCTCTTTCCTTGAAATATAATCTGTTCTTTCTTACCCTGAATCTTTTTGTTTGTAGATTCCTAAGGAGGAAAATTGTAGTCTGCCATGGATGTCTAAATTTGAATATTCTCTATGCATTTCTTATCTCTTATTTGGCATATACATATCATGGTTTACTGTGTTGATAATGTTTGATTCTTTTCTGTTTTATAGTTTTGTATATATTCTTATGGTGAGATTTTCCCCCCACCCCCATACTCTCACAGTAGTATTTTTCTTTCTTCTTTTTCATTGTAGGGTTCCTATAAGTGTCTTCTGAAATCCTAGTGTAGCGGTCATGAATTCCTTCAGCATTTGCTTATCCTGCATAGACTTGTTTCTCCTTTGATCCTAAAGTATAAATTGTGTGTCCAACAAAGGTGGTTGACAGGTATGTGAAGTGTGTGTGTGTGTGTGTATGTGTAGCATGAAACTACTTGCTCATTTTTTGTTTTGTTGTATTACGAGACTTGCAGTACATGTTTCCATGCACTTTAGAAGGACGTCTGAGAATCCTGTTGCTAATGCAATGGATCTTCACTTCATTGCGGCTTGGCACTTGTCTCTTGCAAATTCAATATCTTTCTCTTTCCTATTGTCGAACAATTTAACTGTAATATACCATAGGTTCTTTCCTGGCCACATCTATTTAGGCTTCTCAATGCTTCTGTTACCTAGTGTTGTGTAACAATATTCCTGGAGGGATGAACAAATGCCCATCAGGCACAATAGGGAACTGACAATTAACCAAAGTTGACCTTGGTGAACCAATGCGTTTCATTGGGATTACTGACAGGGAACAGAAATGATCCAAAGATAGCAGCATCACCAAAGCCCACCCCAGCATAGGTGACAGCTCGGGAAGCTGGACACCAGGAATATGCTGCACTACTTTCAAGCAACTTAACAAGTTGGAAAGCGTCTTTTCCCGGCAGTTGAGCTGGTCTGAGTCTCTTCCAGGCCACTCAACTGGTCTGTCTTCCAGGTGGAGCCTCTTCCAGGCAGCTTGGCTAGTCTGAGAGTGTCGAGTGTCTCTCAGCTCTGGGCTAGTCTGAGAGTGTCTCTCTCTTAGCTCTGCTTACTGCTCATAAATGCATGGGAAAGAAGGGATCTAGTGCATTTGGTTGGTTTCCTGAAGCTTTTGAGTTACTTCCTGAGTTTTCACTGGGTGCCCTCCAGAATGGAATGTGCCACCGCCCTTTAGAACACCCTGTGTCTTAAGGAGGTTCCCTCCAAGCTGGAATGTTTTATCTCAGAGGAAATTGCTGTGCAACCCCTAGATGTCCATGTCTTTGACAAAAATTGGCAGATTTTCTGCCTTTATTTCACATAGTGCATTTACATGCTTTTTAACCTGTAGCTCTTCTCCCTCATCTACTCTAATTCTCTGTGTGTTGCCTTTCAGTGATGTCTTAGATATCTTACAGGTTTTGTTGATTTTTGTCTTATTGTTTTGTTACAGTCTGAATATGGTATTTCATCAGATTTTTTTTTTTACAAGTTTTTGTGTTCTTTATTCCGCTTGATCTAATCTGGTATAGCTTTCAAACTGAATGTTTTATCTGATTTATTGAATTTATCATCTGTTGAATTTACCATACATATCAGCATTTCTTTCCTTCATTCAGTTTCTTATACGTAGTCTCCTGGAAATTCCTTGATAATTTTTTTTAATCATTCTTCTGAATTATCAGCCTGGCTAATAATCTGTTACTGTAGAATTCTGAGTGTTCAAAGTGCCATTGTTTTTTCTTGCTTGCGTTTCAGTTCTTATATTTGTATACCTGTTGTAGATATATATATATATTTTTTAAGTGGGGATGGGGAGGAAATGAAGGAAGGTCAGTAAAGTACAAAAAATAGAATGAACAGGAAACATAGGACTGGAAAGATAGCTCAGTGGTTAAGAGCCCTTGGTGCTCTTCCAGAAGATGTGAGTTTGGTTCCCAGCACCCACATTGGGTGGCTCATGAACTCCTGTAGCTCCCAGTCCAGGGGTCCAACATCTACCTCTGGCCTCTGCAGGCCACACACACACACACACACACACACACACACGAATAAAAATAAATTTAAAAAAATAGAAATAAAAAGGGGAATTGACAAGGAAAAGAGAGGAAAGTCTAATTCAGCACAAACAAAAAACCCCACAAAGAATTAAAAGAATAAGAAATAAAAAGTAATAAAGTAGAGAGTCAGAAATTTCTGCAACTGCAGTGCATGGAAACAACTGCTGCTGGCAGCTGGGGCACTCTGCTCCTGCTTTGTTTTTCTTCCTCATGTTAATGGGTAGCTTTATAGCTCCCAGTAGAAAGGGAAAATATAATGCTTGTTTCCAAGTATCAGTTTCTCCTAATCTCTTCATCCTGTCTTCCTGTGGGAGTACTTGGATCGCAAACATATCCTACCATGCCTGACTTTATATGGGTTCTGGAGGTTCAAACTCAGGTCTCCAGGCTTACCCAGCAAGTGCTTTGCCTATCTCCCAGCCCCTTCTATGATCTTTTTTTCTTGTTTTGGTGCTGGGGGGGGGGTTGCAGGACTTGAAACCAGAGCCTTTTGCATGCTAGATAAGCACATTTCCATCAAGCTACACCCCCAAGCCCAGTCTTTTTTCTTAATTAGTTCATGTCTTGAATAGTAAAGTGTATCAGTCATCTCTGCTTTGCTGTTACAGAGTACCTGAGAAAAGTAGCTGAAGGTTGTGTGATGGATGGTTAGTCTTCTTGTCGGGTTGCTTTGGAGTCACCTAGGAGACATACCTCTGGGTATCTGTGAGGGGTTTTACCGTACCCACCACAAATGTGAGTGCTATCATTCTGTCTTAGATTCTTTTTCTGTTGCTGTGATAAAATACCCTAATGAAAGCACTTTCAGAAAGGAAGGGTTTATTTTAACTCACAGCCCAAGGTACAGTCCATCATGATGAGAAAGTCAAGACAGCAGGAACTTGAAGCCTTATATCCAGTGTCAGAAATGACAGCAGTGAGTGTATGCTAATGTTGAACTCACTTTCTCCATTTTATTTTAATTTTATTTTATTTTACTTTTAAGGTTTTTTTGTTTTCTTTTGTTTTGTTTTGTTTTTAAACAGGATCTCCTGTACTCACTGTGGCGATCCACCTGCCTTTGCCTCCCAAGTGCTGGCATTAAAGCATACACCAACACAGCTGGCAGGACTTTCTCCATTTTAAACAGTCCAGGATCCCCTGCCTAGAGAATAATCTCACCTACAATTAAGATGTATCTTCCCACATCACTTAACATAATGAAAATTTCTCAAAAGCATGTCTTACATGTGATTCAACACTCACATGTGATTCAACCATCACACACAGCCATGGGCTGTGATCCCAGACTGAATTAAAAAAAAGAAAGGAAGAAGCCAGGTGGGCACCAGCATTTTCTGTACTGTGTTTCTTGACCTGCACTGATGTGAGGAGTCCCAACTGCAATTCCTATTCCCATGAACTCTGCCATACCCTCCTCCCCACCATGACGGACTATGCTGTCAAGCCATGAGCAAATACCTCGTTCAAGGAGGGGGTACAGTTAAGAGAGAGAAATCTAAATATGATTAAGATGTATTGTATGAAATGCACAAAAATTCAATAAAAATATATTGAAAACAAAAAAACTTCACGTATAAAAAATAAATAAATCCTTCCTCTCAAAAGTTGATGTTTTGTCACAATGATTCAAAAATTAACTTCTACAGGTTGAAAGGTTTATTTTGGCTCTCATGCTCAGTTAATTCACTCTGTTGTCACTTAGCTCCATCACTTTGGGAATATGGTAAAGCAGAGTATCATGACTGTGGGAAACAGAATTGGAAAGGACACTGACCTCCTGATAGCTTGGATATAGAAAAAGTGGGAAAAGATACATACCACTGTGACCTTCAACTAAGCACTGCCTACTACACATTCCACTCCCTTCCAGTAGTCTATCAGTTCTGAACACACCAAACAGTAAATCCATTCGTGATATCAGAGCTCTTGTGATCTAGTCTCTTCACCCCAAATCCTACCTGTGAACATTGCAGCATTGGGGGCAGAGCTTTGAGTGTATGAGTCTTATGGGTCACGTTCCACATACAGACTGTAACATGGCGTTTCTAATTTATTTTTTAATATTTTATTTATTATTTTTATGTGTACGAGTGTATTCCCTGCATGTATGTGAGTGTACCCATGTCATGCAATGCCGCAGAGGTCAGAAGAGGGTGTCGGATTCCCTGGAACTGGAATTAAGGATGGTTCTTAGCCATGTGGGTGCTGGATATTGAACCCAGGTCCTCTGCAAGAGCAGTCAGTGCTCTTAATCACTGAACCATCTCTCCAGCCCCATGGAGTTTCTAATTTATATCATACAACATTTTACTTTCCTAAGACTTTAAATATTGTTAAATATTTATACTTGCTAGATTTGGTAATTTTAAGGTTAACTGATGAAATGTATGTTTCAGGAGTGATGAAATTTTATAGGTAGGTGTGATATGTGGCATATTGTAGTCGCTGAGCCCTTCCTAAGACATGTGACAGTATTTCCCTTATTTCATTGTCCAATAAAATTTGCAGTGTTTTTCCATTGGCATAGTAAATTATCCTCCATGAGCCTTTTTTTTTAGCTATATAATTATAGTTGATCCACAGTAAACCAAACTTCTGCAAGGTTTTTCTTAGTGTAGACACAGAAATGTATTGTGTTCAGAAGTAATAAGTTGTGATAGAAATTATTAACTTCTTCCAGTCCGGCTCAGTAGTCATCATCCAGATGTTACTTTGGGGCTAATTATAAGCTCCCTCTGATGAGCATGTTAGAAATCTGTAAGTGTTCAAAGAGACAGCAGGTATTGAATAGCATGTTGTTTGTGAGAACTTTAAGAATAATGAGCCCAACTTCCTAGCAACATTATACAGATGCAAAGATCAAACTTTGGTCTAAATCTAATATAAGAAAACATGGTCTTAAGACCACTGGTATTAACACTTTGCACACTGTGACTTTGTTTGAAAAATGGCAAAGGCCTCTGGAAATTGGGAGGCCCAACAGTATAATTGTTGGGTTTTATTTGTTTTGTTTTGTCTTGTTTTTGTTCTGTTTCTTGTTGTGCTGTTGCTTTACCAAAGAGTTCAAAGCTAGTTTAGGAATTTATGTGTTATATAACATGCAGTTATAGTTGTAAAAGTGTGAGTGTGGTGTCCAGGATGTGCATTGAACATTTGGAGAACACTCCCAGATTTACCGTGCTGGATGTCTTACCTTTTCTCTGGGAAATATCTGGGCTGTTTTAGGACTCTGTGACCTTTGAAGACGTGACTGTGAACTTCACCTCAGAGGAATGGGCTTTGTTAGATCCTTCCCAAAAGAAGCTGCACAGAGATGTGATGGAGGAAACCTTCAGGAACCTGGCTGCCATAGGTGTAGGTGAGATCATACTTTACTAAATCAAGCAGAATTATAAGTCTGCCTTGCTCAAAAATGTTGCCTCCTGATTTGGAATATGAAAAGGGTAGATTTGGTGAATCTATCAGGCATGGTCGTGTTATACCACAAATCTGTCTAGAATTGAGTGTTTTCTCTATTATAATTGAGTAATGACTTTTCTGGGTCTGTGTTCTAGGAAAAGCACAAGAAGTTGAGCACATAGAAGATGACCACAAATATTCTAGGAAACTCCTAAGGTAACTCACCGACCCAAGTGATACTGTCCTCAAGAATCTGGAAATGGCCATGACTTGAGGGGGGCAGTGGTTGTTTTTTTGGTCTTTTTGAGACAGGGTCTCCCTGTAGCTGACCTGGAACTCACTATGTAGACCAGGCTGGCCTTGAACTCACAGAGATCCGCCTGCCTCTGCCTCCACCTCCCAAGTGCTGGGATTAAAGGCATTCACCACCATGCCCAGCCTCCAGTGACTTTTTTTAGGACAACTGTACAAATAAGCCGAGCTTCAAGTTGATTTAATCTAAAGCAATTATCTCCAAAAATGCATACAGGATTAGAAATATTTGTAACATGGACATGATGATTCAAATGATACTTTCTGATGATTTTGTTTACACAAACTTTTGTCCATGTAGAAAGTTCAAAATGTATGCATGTCCTTCAGGCTTTGAGTGTGCAGTATATACAAAAATGTAAAGGAATTTCATGTTTACTCTGGAATCAGTATTCAAGGTATATTATGTATATGGAGATTTTTTGAAATAGAAAAGTTTTTTCTGTCTATGCAGATTATATGCAGATTTTTGAAATAGAAAAGTTTTCTCTAAGTTGTTTGGATAAATAATATTCAAGCACATTTACATGTGATATAGAGGCAGAAATGGTGGCTCATGTCCCCATTTGCAGCTAATTAGGAGTCTCATGGAGGTGACTGTTCAATTCAGAGGTAACCTGAGCATCATACCAAGATACCTCAAAAATAAATAAGCCAAGTATGGTGGCATGCACCTTTAATCCTAGCCCCCAGACAGAAACAGGTGGATCTCTGTGATCAAGGCAAGCCTTGTCCACATAGTGAGTTTCAGGCAGCCTGGGACTAGGGAGACCCTGTGTAAATGTGTCTATGTATGTATGTATGTATGTATAAATTAATAAATAAATAAGTAAATAACAGAGACATTCATTGTTTCCAGAACACTTAAGTTGTCACAAACACTAAGAAATCCCATGTGGTTGTCTAACAAAATGCCTCAACAAGTAAAGGCACTCACTGTGAAACTTGATGACCTCAGTTTGATCCCTGGGACCCACATGGTAGAAGAAGAGAATGAACTCCCACAAACTATCCTCTGACTTCCACGTGCATACATGGCATGTGTGTGTACTCTTGAACACACACACACACACACACACACACAGATAAGTAAAAAAATTTTAAAGAAAGAAACCTCATATGAATACAGTGTTTTGAAATTACCTAGCTCTGGATTCTGTAGAACCTTCATTTCATTCATGTTCATAAATTCTGAGGAATTTAGCTGGTAGGAAATTTGCGACTTTAGTAATGTGCTTTCCACTTTTTACAGAAATGAAGTCGTGGAGAGACTGTGGGAACATAACAAAGGTAGTCAATGTGAGGACATCAGACAGATTCCAAATACTGTTGTAAACGAGGAGATTTCTTGTGGAGTAATGCTGTGTGAAAACCATGTGTATGAAGACATGCCCATTGGTCATTCATCTCTTAACTTATCCACGCCTATTCAGACTGCACACAAACCTTATGACTATGAGATATGTGGAGAGAGTCTCTATAAATCTGGCGAATTTGAGAAAGCCTGCATTGATCCAGGATACTTTCTGAAGCGTAAAGACACTGAGACCAAACAGAAACTCTATGAATTTAACCAATGTGAGAAATTCTTCCAGAGTAACAGTTACATTAAAATACATATGAACAACGAAACTAGAGACGAGATGTATATGGATAAGCAGCATTTTAATGCCTTTACTTATCGCAATTTTCTTCACTATATTGAAAAGATTCAGACTGGAGAAAAGCCCTACGTATGTAAGCAATGTGGGAAAGCCTTTTCTTTTTTGAGTAACATTCGAAGACATGAACGAACTCACACTGGAGAGAAACCATACAAATGTAACATGTGTGATAAAGCCTTCATTTGTTTCACTAATTTTCAAGAACATGAAAGAACTCACACTGGAGAGAAACCCTATTTATGTTCACAATGTGGAAAATCCTTTTCTTTTTTGAGTAATATTCGAAGACATGAACGAACTCACACTGGAGAGAAACCATACAAATGTAATGTATGTGGTAAAGCCTTCAGTTATTTGACTAACTTTCAAGACCATGAAAGAACTCACACTGGAGAGAAACCCTATGTGTGTACACAGTGTGGAAAAGCCTTCACTTACTATTATTCCTTTCAAACACATAAACGATGTCATACTGGAGAGAAACCCTATGTGTGTAAGCAGTGCGGGAAAGCCTTCAGTTATTACAATTCTATTCAAACACATAAACGATGTCACACTGGAGAAAAGCCCTATGTGTGTAAGCTGTGTGATAAAGCCTTTACTACTCTTAGTTCTCTTCGATACCATGAGAGGATTCACAGTGGTGAGAAGCCGCATGTGTGTTTACAATGTGGGAAAGGTTTCAATTCTTCCAGCACCCTTCGAATACATGAAAGAACTCACACTGGAGAGAAACCATATAAATGTAAGCAGTGTGGCAAAGTTTTTAGTGTTGACAGTTCCCTTCGATGCCATGAAAGAGTTCACAGTGGGGAGAAACCCTATGTATGTAAGCAGTGTGGGAAAGCCTTCACTCGTCACACTTCCCTTCGATGCCATGAAAGGATTCACTGTGGAGAGAAACCCTATGTATGTAAGCAATGTGGGAAAGGGTTCATTTCTTCCAGTAATTTTCGGAAACATGAATGGACTCACTCTGGTGAGAAACTCTGTGTGTGTAAACTGTGTGGTAAAGCCTTTACTGGTCATAGTTCCCTTCGACGCCATGAAAGGATTCATAGTGGAGAGAAACCCTATATATGTAAGCATTGTGGGAAAGGCTTCTCTTCTTTGAGTGGTTGTCAAAGACATGAACAGATTCACACAGGTGAAAAACCCTACATATGTAAGAATTGTGGAAAAGCCTTCACTAATCCCAGTGCCCTTCGAAATCATGAGAGGATTCACAGTGGTGAGAAACCCCATGTATGTGAGCAATGCGGGAAGGGTTTCATTTCTTTCAGTAAATTTCGAATACATGAACGAATTCACACTGGAGAGAAGCCATATAAGTGTAAGCAATGTGGCAAAGCCTTCACTGGTCACAGTTCCCTACGACGTCATGAAAAGATTCACAGTGGAGAGAAACCTTTTGTATGTAAGCAGTGTGGGAAGTCCTTTTATACTTTAAGTGACTGTCAAAGACATGAACAAATTCACACTGGTGAGAAACCTTACACTTGCAAGCAATGTGAAAAAGCCTTCACTCGGTCCAGTTCCCTTAAAATACATGAAAAGACTCACACTAGAAGGAATCCCTTAGTATAGACTATCAAAAGGCCTCTATTGCAGGACCTTTCTAACAAATATGACAATGCATAGGATAGAATCAGTGTCATGTTGTTTGTAGAAATGCCTGTGGCCATCTTAATTGAACTCACAAACATAAGAGTATGTACTATAGTGAGAAACTTTAAAAATAAGAGGTGCAAATGTCTTCAGTTGCACACTTCTGAGCACTTGTCCAGTAACAAAGTTGTCAGTTTTAAAAAAAATTTTTCCAAGGTTCTGAAAATTCCTCATGTAACAATTCATAAATGGGGGGTTAATATTGATGTGAATTAGTTTATATAGAATGTTCCAGAAATTACATTATTTGAAGTAAATGTTCTTAAACTTTTAAAATATTGTACTAATTTTCCACTCATTCAGAAAACAGATCTTGGAAATACTTATTTCTAATTTTCACTCTTGAAAATAAATTTTCAGGTGACCTAATCTCTAAGGCTTCTTTAAGCAATTGGGCATGAATTTAGTAGCTTGTGTCCTTTCTAATCGAATCGTGTACATTTTTCTCTTCATATTGTACCATGATGGTGGATCAAATGTGTTTTATACTATATCATTTTATTCACTTTGTCACTCATATTGCCATTGAAACAACTTAAGGGGGGTGGAATTTCATTTGCTCACAGCCAGCCAGTTATGACAGGGAAGTCATAGCCAAGTAGAGCAGTTCACATCATTGTGGACACAAAGGGTAATAGTTTGAAATATAAGAAGAGGCCAGTGGAAGACATCCCAAGTACATGCTTTTCCAGTGACCCACTTTTTCCAGTTAGGCCACACCTCCTACACTTCACCACCTCCCAATAGCACCAACATCATATTATGAATACATCCAAGAGTTAATCCTTTTGTTAGGTCATCACCTGTTGATCTAATCACCTCTCGAAATGATATCGTAGAGTTGTGCTTTCCTAATACCCTAGACATCTCACAGTCCAGTTGTGTTGATAATGAAAATTAACCATCACAGTCTTCAAATCAGACGACACTTTTATATGGATTCTGTATTTTTTTTTTACTTTGATATGTTTTCTTGAAGATTTTTGCTCGTAACTTTAGAGTTTGAACTGTTTCAGCCATTTGATAGGGATTACCAAATGAAAGAATAGCTGCAAATACCATACCATAGTCATAAATTGGATAAAATTTACAAGTTTGCCAAATTTTCCCTTTCATGTCAAGTCATGATGGGCTTACAAATAATGGCGTCTTTATGCTAATTTTGCTCAGGCTTATATTGTTATAACTTTTATTTTGATCATTTGTGCTTCACTCATACCAAAAGACACATCGTGCTAGCTTAAGTGCCTTTGCCCTCGATCACAAGGACCTCACCTTTTGTGAAGGAGTGTGTAATAAATTCTTCCACATCTGTTTGTAAGTAGTAAATGACCATGTGTTTCTTCATTAAAATTATTTTGGTTTTTGTTTTTTTTTTTTTCCTTTTTGATTGATTTGGGGTGGAGCGGCTAGGGGAATAGGATCTTGCTCTGAGCCCAGGCTGGCCTGAAACTCAATGTGTAGTCCAAGCTTCCCTTAGACTCATGCTCATCCTGCTTGAGGTTCCCAAGTGCTGGAATTAAAGGTGTGAGTCATGCTTAAAAGTCATTCTTATTTGAATATCTGTAGGATTTGTGCTTTAGCAGGTATCAATTGATATTAAATATGTTGAGATGTTCCCCTGTCATGGCTATATTGGCTATATTGAAAGTGAATTCAGTACTATCTTTGGTAATCATAACAGTTCTTACCTAAAAGCCGCAATAGCGGAATGAAGGGAAACTTGTTAATGGGAAGTACTAGTCAGTACAGTTAAGAAATTGGTCAGGAGTTGTTTCTTTTCGTTTTTGAAAAGGGGTGTGTCTCACCTAGTTTAGAGACACGTACAGGGTGTTTCTGTTACTTGGTTCGTCCAAGTCACTGAAGAGCATTGTCTACTTTTGGAGGTGTGACATGTCATCCTAGACTTGGCCTTGCTGTGCTTGTGAGACCGATTCCAGCCTTCCAGACCTGTTTTTTAATTTATTATTATTATTTAGACATAAGCATTTATGTTTCACTGGGTGTGATTCTCTAGTAAATCTAAGTGTTCTTCATATTTGTTGGTATGTTTCCAGAAACCCAAACCAAAACAAAAATTTCATGAGTTGGAAATGCACTTAATACCCCTAAGTTACTCAACTTCAAAGTTGAGCTGGGTGCCTCAGTATGGTCAGATCATTTCTGTTACTCTTGTTGGGAAAAATCACCTAAAACGATGTATTTTATGATAACATCTTGAATATATCATGTAATTCATGAAGCATGAAGGCTGCAGAGATTAGTATGAGTTCTTACACTACTCACTCTCCATTTGTGCTACTGACCTCCAGCAGCGTCAGAACGTACACTGCGTAACGCAACTCCAAATTGAGATCCCTTTTTGAAAACTGAAAATATTTTCTGTTCAGTATGTTTCCCAGCATCACAAAAAAATATCATAAGGCTATCATGAGTCAGTGATCATCCTTGCCTCAGTTAGAATATGTAATTCACTGGTTATTCAGTATGCTTATACTCTTTTTTTTTAAATAGTATTTTTATTTTATGTGTATGAGTATATTGCCTGCATGTATGTGAGTGCACCTGTGTCGTGCAGTGCCTGAGGAGGTCACAAGAGGGCATCAGATCCCCTGGAACTGGAGTTGTGGACTGTTAGCTGCTGGGATTCGAACCCGGGTCCTCTAAGAGTAGTCAGTGCTCTTAACTGCTGAGCCATCTCTCCAGCCCCTATGCTTATACTCTTTAAAGTCCCTCATTGAATCTGTATTAGTTACTTTTGCACTGCTGTGACAGAATATATGACAGAATAACCTAAGCAGAAAGAATGTTTTAATTTATGGTTTCAGTGGGTCTCAGTCCATCAACATAACAAAGGCTCATGATAAATGAAGCCACTCAGTTTTTGGAAACAGGGCCTAACAGTGAAATGTAATGAATAGTGGTATACAGGAAGCAGAGAGCAGGTTGGAAATAAGTGGCTATAACCTTCAAAGGCAGGTCTGCCTCAAGGGATATTATTCCTCTACCCACACCCCACCTCCTAAAGGCACTACAACCCTCAAAATAGCATCACAAGGTGGGTGCTGAAGACATGAGCTTGTGGGAGACATTCCAAATTTAAACCATAACAGACTCTTGGGTGAGCAATATGTTTAGAGAACTGAGAGAACAAGTCCAGGACAGGATTTCTTACAGTCTGTCTCATTGACTATGTAACTCCTGTCATTTTCATGCATTCCACACATGCCATCATCAAACTGGAAACATAGGGGTGGAAAATGGCTCAGTGGTTAAGAGCACTGGCTGCTCTAGCAGAGGATCCAGATTCAGTTCCCAGCATCCACATGGCATATTACTATCCATAATTCCAGTTCCAAGGGATCTGATGCTCTCTTCTGGCCTTGGTGGACATTACATGCACATGATGCACTTACATACGTGCAACCAAAATGCTCATACACATAATATAAAAATAAGCTAAAAACATGCAAAATTGAATTGGAATAATCTCATTGTCATATAAAAATGAAATGAAAGCAAGGACTATTGCGTTTTATGAGAAAAACAAGGCCTAAACAAGCCTTGAAACATTTACCAAATAGAAATAAGGCAGTAAATAGTGACAGGAGACAAAAATCTGTGGTGTCTCTTGTTGAAGGAGTTGGTGTGAGTGTGGATGTCCTCATTACTGCAATTTCCACATCCAGTACATCTTCAGCCCTGTCTTAGCAAATGAGCAAATACCTGGATGTGGACAGTTTGAGATGCTGCAGATAGCCCTTCCTGGTGAGAGAAAGCATGATTTTATATGTACATAAATATCAGTGTAGAATTTTTCTATGATAAATTGTTTCTTGTGATATGTGATTTCATATTTCCATGTGGAATTCTGGAAACGGAAATTTCTGATGACCTTGCATCACTAGTGTCATGCATATGTTTCACATGATTTGGGGATTTACTTTTTTATGTTTTTGTTTGGGGGTGTTTTGTTGTTTGGGGGGTTGTTTGTTTGAGACTCGGTATCCCTGTAGCTCCACCTGGTCTGGAACGTGCTATGTAGACTAGGCTGACTTGATCTCACAGAGATTCGCCTGCCTTTGCCTCCTGAATGCTGGGATTAAAGGCATACACCATACACCACCATTCCTGGGTTGATTTGGGCATTTACAACACACACACACACACACACACACACAAAGGATACCCCCTCAAGGCCTGAACTTACCTCTAGTCCAGAAAATGGTTTTGGTCATCTACATATACCACTATACTCAGCAAGTTTCTTCACTAGTAGATGATGAAACAAAGTTGAGGCTACAACTAGAAATGGAGCTCATCTTTAAGGATCACTCTGAGCAACCCACTTCTGCCAGCTGACCAGAGTCCCAAAGGTTCCACAGCCTCCTGAAACAGCGTGAAACTTGTCATGGGTAAGCCATGTCATTCCATCCCTTGCTCCCATTGTCATGGCTGTCTCATAATATAAAAATCGTTAGACTTCAGTAGTTCCAATATTAGTCAGGTTTCTCTAGCGGAACAAAACAATAGAATATATA